AATTTTCTCACTGAAGTTTTTGAAAAGTCTGATCAAGACAAAAATTCAGAAACCACTGGAATCGTAAAAAGCTTGGAACATGAGGGAAAGACGCTTATGTTGTTTATTGATCTACCTTTCTGAGTAATTAATACAGAAGCAAAGAGATTTGTGCAAAACTCTTCTTATAGCCAGAGAAAATGCTGCAAAATTTTCAAAAGGCAACTAGATTCTCTTTGTTTTTCCCTTAAGACATTTCACTTTCAAAAAGAGTGCTAGCTACCAAGTGGCTGCAAGGAATATAAATCCTTCCATTCAGTTCTTCATAACTGAAGAAGCTGCTTGAATGAGAAGCAAAACGTTTTCAAGTAAAAACAAAGTCCAGTTGCCTTTTGAAAAAGCACCTTTGGGACAGGTTAGATCATTGTTGCCAATTGTCTTTAACTGAGTTTTGGATCTAACATTAGACCAGAATTAAGTTTTCAGAAAACGAAAAAGTCCCAAAGTTGCATTGTTCTTTACAGATACATCCAGGAATGTAATTAAATGGACATATGGAGAATGCTTAACTCCAGCAGGTCAAAGTTTGTTTTTTAAATCTCCCCCACCTAGCACAAGCTCAAGACTGCATTATTCTTAATATCACATCTGATGCTTAATTCAGTTGATACGTGCAATACTAATTAAGTTTTAATTTCTGATCATACAACTAGACTAATTCTATTCACCTTGGGTAAGAATAGCCCTGTTAGTAGTTTCCTACTATTTCCTTGCTGGTAGATCTGCTAAGTGTGGGACAACAAAACAAAGATTAATAGATCTCAAAGCATGATAAATAGAGAGAATCAACTAATTTGGGAAGTGTTTGGGATACATTTAAAACATTTTATCCAATGTGATATGGCAGAAAATAACCTGAATCACAATGTAGGAAACATGAATTGGAAATTAATTAAGCACTGAATGGGCATATCATAAAATACACTTAGGAAGTATATTGTTCATTGAGATGTATTATATTGAAATTGGACTAATTGTATGCATTATTATTATATTTAAAATTAAATATACAAGGACAGAACACTTTTTAAAAAATCGAGTGAAACAAATTTGTTGTGAATAGGCAGAAAAACCAAGGAAATTATTGCATTATTGTTGAAAACATTTGTACAACAGTGGAACATTTGGGGCCAGGGAAACAAATCACCTCACTGGTAATGAAATTAATTCTTTTTTATTATTCAATAATTTACATTCCTCATATGTAGATATAGCTAATAATCAGATAAATAGTTTTTTCAGCATAATAAATCTCCCAGAAACTTTGGATGTATACCCAGGTATGTTGGGGTGGCACCCAGAATATTACAGGAAATCTATAGTATTGATTTAATAAAATAAAGAAAGGCTTCCAAGCAAGACAGAATAGCCATTCGATGGTATAAAGAATTCAAGGAGAAAGTGGCTTCTGGAGTTATTACAGAAATGAAAAGAAAGCCCTTTCAGCTTTTTAATATGTAACTTATTTTAGTGTAATTTTGAAGGCTGGTAAGGATCCTATCCTGTGAACAAATTATTGTCTAATATCTAATACATTTTGAAGTTTAGATTGTAACAGCTACTTTGGCAAGAAGATATTACCTGCAATCATTCATCCTGCACAAATTGGTTTCATAAAGGGCATCAAGATTCTGATAATATAGGACTTTTGATTGATATAATGGTTTTATACACCGATTTAATAAGAATCTATGTTATTAGCTTTATTGCATATAGAAAAATCTTTTGATATGATTTAAATCAATTTTTGAGTTCAAAGTGTGGCTGAGGTTTAGATGTCCTATATAATCTATAGTGATGATAAAATTAAGCACAGGGCACATAAATAAATGAATCAATTTGAACTTCCAGGAACAATCAGGGAATGTAAGGGAACAAAATAAATTATAATTAGTGATGACACTGTAAATTTCTAGGACCAGACTTATCCAGACACTTAATGCATAATAAATGCAAGGGGGCTTAATTCCACTAGGCAAGCCTTGAATTAAAATGCCAGTGTCCAATTTATATACTATAGTTCCACCATTGAAAAGCATTCTGGGCCTATTCAAAAATCTGATTCAAGTTTTGTTAGAGAAAAATATTTGAGTCTTCTGAGAACCTGAAAAATTCCAAGAAAGTATTGAAATGGTGCAACTTTCTCTGCAGTGGTGAAATTTGCTAGGAGTTTGAATCTTTTTCTGCACTATATGGGGCTTCTTTTGATTCAGGTTTTACAGAGATGATAGCAGTGGTGGGTTGCTCTTGGTTCAGTCCGGTTCTATAGAACCGGTAGTAAAACTGGGGGGAGGCTCCGCCCACCCACCATGACATCATCATGGGTGATCTGCACATGCACAGGAGTGCACGCTCCAATTGCAAACTGGTAGTAAAGGTAAGTAGAACTCACCCCTGCATGATAGGCTAGATAAATATACATATTATTTGTGTTTAACACTGCAAATAGCTCCCATGAATCTGCCCACCACCATTTCTGAAGCAAGGCAATGCAATGAATGGGATTTGTCCAAATTCATTATAAAGGTTATAAAGAAAGCTTATTAGTTTCCCACTGTTCTTTGCACTGAGATGAAACCGATACTGAAATTTTAAGATTAATAGTTGGGTAACTAGTTATCTTCAAAAATGGGGAATGAAATATTTTCATGCGGGTAAAGATTAGGTTTTTTATATATCTTCATATACAAGAAGTTTTCAAAAATGTGTAGATATATTATGGATACACCAACCAAATACACATGGGAAGGAATAATAGAAAACTACATTAAAATGTTGGGGATTGCAATAAAAACTGAGTTGCATTGTTTTGTATCTTTACTTATATAAAAGTTTTATATTATTTACATACATACATACCTTAGACTAATAAGAATTTGTCTGATTTTAAATATGAACCTGAGACTGATTACTCCAGGGAAAAGGTTGTTGATCTTGGACCTTGGTTACCCTGTGTCTTGTGCCGTCCCTGAAGTGGCAGAATGAGACTCCCAGGATGTGTTGTGACCTAGGCTCAATTAGGCGTTACAATACACCATTAATCTTAAACAAACCTATTTTATTATAGCAGCTGGGAATTACTTCATTTCCAGCTTAGTCCAAATTAATTCCAAAACAAGTCCCTCAGAAAAAGTCCTTCGGCTTATCACAAACTTTTATCTTCTTTGGCACCCTGCCAAAGGCCTTTCTTGGCAAATCCCCACGAAGTTCAGAAACAAGAGACGCCGACTGGAAAACGGATTTAGCAATGTTGCTTTCCTCAAAGAGCCCAAGAGCCTTTCCTGCTCTTTTAAGCCTTATGGGAGGGGCCAATCATATCCTGGCTTTACTCCCGAGTCGTCCTTTTTGCTTTAGCTGCTCTTGCCTTCTGGCAGCTCTGTGCATGTGTCACTATGAACAGGCTCCTCCTGTTCCTCTGCCTCTCTGCTGTCCGACTCTGGAGGCTCTGGAGTCCACACATCACTCCCAGATGGCCCTTGCCCCATCTCTGCCTCTGATGCAGAACCTTCGTCTGGGCCTTCTCCAGACTCCAGGATTGGCCCATGGTCCTCCCCAGCCTCCTCACTGTCTGACTCCGCTGCTAGCTCCGCGGGCTGCTGGGGACCACAACAGGATGTGCTGCAGTAGCAATAAAGTCCAGCTCCCTCCCCTTGAGCCGGGGTGAAATGCTCCCGGTTCGGATCGTCTGATCCAGTAGCGATGGAGGCGGGTGGTTCGGAGAACTGGTAGCAAAAATCCCTGCACCCCCCATGCCCATCTGAGCCACGTGATCATCAGAGGGTTTTTTTATTTTTAAAAGCATTTTTTCTACAACTTCTTTGGCCAAAAAAATGCTTTTAAAAGTTTTAAAAAAAACCCTCTGATGATCGCGCTGCTCAGCTGGGATCGTCATAGGTTTTTCAAAAGAAAAAAGCCTCTGACAATCAGGCAACTCAGCTGGGATTGTCAGAGGCTTTTAAAAGTTTTTTTTTTTTACAACTTCTTCGGCTGAAGAGGTTGTAGAAAAAATGCTTTTAAAAGGCTCTGATGATCCCAGCTGAGTTGCCTGATTGTTCGAGGCTTTTAAAAAGATTTTTTAACAATCTCTTCGGCCAAAAAGGTTGTAGAAAAAATTGTTTTAAAAGTTAAAAAAAAAAAAGTTGGCCACGCTCACTCAGTCACATTACCCCCCACCAAGCCACTCCACAGAACCGGTAGTAACAAATTTTACATTTCACCATTGCCTTGAGCCCTACTCTGGACCCTTACACAGCCTTCTCACCCACCAGCATCCACTGGCAGAGCACTTTCTTTCCACTGCCCGGAAGTACAACAGATGCTTCTAAATGACGCCTTTTGGAGCCAGAGAAGTGAACGAAGGAAATTTTATGCCAACATTTAAAGTGCAGGGGCAGGTCTACCACAGGATAGGGAGTATCATGGTGGGGCCTCAGCAGCAGCCTTCATTTCTCCAGATATGTGTCAATTTAGCAAGCCCGATCAGATAGTTTCATAGTGAAGCAGAGTTATCCAGCTAGTACCAGATAAATTTGAAAAAGTAGAAATATAGAAATATAATGTGTCAAAGAATCAGTGGGTCAGTGTTTCCATGAACACTCTTGTACACTTAGGTATATTTACCTGGAGATATAATTTCACAGGATGAGCATTTTTCATTCTCATAAAAATTATGTGAAGCAAATGGATTTCTGCCAAATGCAAATAATATTATGCATTGTCAGCAACTGTGAATCACAGTACTATTCACCTTCAGCAATATGGCTCTTTAGGAAAGGACATATTTTTATGGTTCTGGATGGAAGTTCAAGAGTAGAAAATTTGATTAGCCGTGTAATTAAAATTCATAACATGATGGTATTTATGCAACCAGGTTCCAAAGCTTCCCTTCAATTTTGTTTTCTGAGTGGATCCTGCTGAAGCTATATTGTCATGGAATTGTAAAGCTTTACATACACACTTACCATTCTTGGACAAAATAACAGCCAGATACTCATGAGAAGAAGCATTGAGGTAAAACAGAAGGCTTGGAGCATTTGCTGTCAGGAAAGTAAAAGCGATGTTTTCCTTGGATATGGATGTACCCGCATAAATGGCTGAAGATGTAGAACTTGCATTTTTAGTTACAGGATAAGGTTCCTGGAATGTGTAGGTAATAGAAGTGTCTGCTTCAAACACTGCAGAGACTTCTAAAAATACAAAGAAATATAAACACAAATCAGATTCAGTGCAGTAGATTGAAAACTATTGGAGCTGTTGAAATAGAATTTTTAGAATCAACAAAGCAGATGCATTTGTGTGTGCTTTGTGTTTTACAGTCTACAGTCAGGAAATATGAATTTCGTATGAACCAAGAACTTCCAAATCTTCCCACAGATGGATGGATCTTTGTTCCCCTTATTTGCAACCTGGATGCAAAATCTGACAATCTAAATATAGGTAGTCCTCGACTTACAACCACAATTGAGCCCAATATTTCTGTTGCTAAGTGAGACATTTGCTAAGTGAGTTTTGCTCCATTTTGCAACCTTTCTTGCCACAGTTGTTAAGTGAATCACTGCCATTGTTAAGTTAATAATACAATTGATAAATGCCTTTGGCTCTCCCATTGACTGTGCTTGTCAGAAGGTTGCAAAGGGGATCACATGAACCCGAGATACTGCAACCGTCCTAAATATGAGTCAGTTGCTAAGTATCTGAATTTTGATCACATGACCGTGGGGATGCTGCAAAGGTCATGAGTATGAAAAAATGATCAAAAGTCACCATTTTTCAGTGCCATTGTAACTTCAGACGGTCACTAAATGAATTGTTGTAAGTGAAGGACTCCCTGTATATTCTTTCTCAGAGGAAGGATGGTATTGAACCAGATAATTTTTTGCCAGCCTGAAGCATTTTACTGAACATGCAGCGTAATAGCAATATTTCTCTGTTGCTACCTGATTGGCTGTATGGAAAAGCAGGGGGCCAAACGAGGCTGAAACATGTGGAGGAGGATGGATTCTGGAATCACTGAAAGAAGTGAGTCAGTAAAAGTTGAGAGGTGAGTCCATAGATGAGGACAAGCTCCCAGCAGGTTGTGGTTTTCAGTGAAGGCTTATGAATACATTGCCTAGGGCGTTTCATTGTTTGGAATACTGAGAAGTAGCAGCAACATTTTCAAATATTTAAAAGTTGTATAAAATAATAATTGGCAACAGTCAAAGAAATAATAGAATGGACCCAGGCGTGCTGTTCGCTTTTTGGAAGATCCTATCCTATGCTTTCTTGGTTTCTCAGTGACAATCACTATGAAAAGTCAAAATATTAGTCAGTGTGATTTATTTTAGGAAAGGGGGAAAAAAAAATAAGCCATGTTGGCTAGGAAAAAAAAAACCTACTCTCACTAAAATTGATTTTAGAAAATCAGAAAAATATGCTACTCTTGACCATGTTCAGATCTCTTCACCTAGCAAAATAATCTGTTCTCCCCAAAAGGAAAGTAAATCTGGGGGTTGATTGAGGAAGGGTGATTGAAGTCTGCCTGGTCAGAGAAGGGTCCTTTCAAATCAAACCCCATTTCATGCTGTAATGTTTAGTTTGTTACAAAACATAATGTAATGTTTTAGTTTGGACTAAACTGCCAGTGTAAAGAAGAAAGATCATTCCTTCTTTTTGAAAATATGAAAAACCTCATTTACTTAAGCTCATTTACTTGAATGGAGGGCACTCTATTATTTACCATGCTCATTTTTCAAACAGGACTTGTGCACTTTATACAATGTTCTTCCAACCATTTTAAGTAGCCAAGGATCACTTGTTGTTAATGGGGCATTGCCAGTTTGCAAGAGGCAGTAACAATTAGAACTGAAATGCTCAAATAGATCTGGGCTATAATCTTTTTTTTAAAAAAAGATGGTTTAAGGAAGATCATTAGGGTTTTCCACCCCACCTAAAATGCCATCTAAAGCCTACACTATAAGAAATTAATATTTATAAAGTTATGACAAACACACATTGTCTTCATTTTATGAACACCGTGTTTCATTTTTCCTCTCAGATGATCATCTTAGTGCATTAACATATAATTACAAAAGTAAGTACTCCAAAAATAATTAATTCCCAAGCCATGAGAAGTTAGTTCCACAGGACATATAAAAATATAAGCCATCAAGGGATTCTTCCACTACTTTTTTGCTTGTTTGTTATTTGAGTTTTCAAATGAGAATAGTCTTGACAATTAAAGTAGTTTCATATTCTGGAAGGCATGACCTCATTCCAGGTTTCAAATTATTATTATTTTTATATCTAGATTACTAGTCTCCACATGTGCATCTCTGAAATCAGATACATTATTATTATGGGACTTCTGGGTAGAATCTAGTGGATTTTTGAACAAAACGGTGAGAGAGTGTACCAATGATACATTAGTTAAAGATACCAAATTGAACCTTTGCATCACTAACATTGAAAAAGTTTCCTCTGCATGTGAAAAGCAGTATAAGACCAGTCAGGCACCCAATTGGCAGTGGGAAGAAGATTATTGATCTGGTGTTCTTATTGGCACGAGACCCTACAGTTGCTGCAGCTGAAAGGATGGAGGCTGCAACCTCAATATCTACTGGCACAGAGCTACAGTTTTGTATACACCAACAATCCTGCCAGCCAGCCAATCTGCCAGAGGAAAAATAGCAATAGCAATAGCACTTAGACTTATATACTGCTTCACAGTGCTTTACAGCTAAGCGGTTTATAGAGTCAGCATATTGGGTCCTCATTTTTCCGACCTCAGAAAGATGGAAGGCTGAGTCAACCTTGAGCAGGTGAGATTCGAACTGCCAAACTTCTGGCAGCTGACAGTCAGCAGAAGTAGCCTGCATTCTAACCACTGTGCTACCACAGCTCTTACAAATAAAATAGAATTCCCAAATTCCTAATGAAAGTAGGGAAATAGAGAAAAAAGCTGGCACACCTTCTCACCCAAAAAATATATTAAATTATGCAAGATTTGTTGAGAATCTAGATCAGTGGTTCTCAACCTTTTCTTCACCATGGACCCCCTTTAAATATCTTTTGTGGCCAAGGACCATGGCTACAGACACCAAAGACCTAATTTAACATTCAAATAATAACATTTATTTAAGACTTTACAGATTCCTATGATGACATCTTGGCCCCCCAGGGTCTGCAGACCACAAGTTGAGAACCATTGATCTAGATAATTTAAATTAGAAAGTGACATTTTGTATAATACACCTGTACAATACCTTTGGTCAAGGTGCACTGGATGAGCAAAAATAAATGTGATTCAGCCATCCTACCTTCTCTGCAGAATGGTCCTTCATATGGTGAATTGGTGCAATCACATAAGTAGCCATTGGGTTTTTCCACACATTTCCCTCCATTCTGGCAAAGGTTACCATAACTGCTGCAATGACCTGAACAACCTGGTTTGACCCCAGGAGTCACTTTGGCTCGCTCTTCAAGGTCAAGTTTCTGTCCATTTAGATGTAGAGAGCGAATACATCCGATAAAACCTTTCTGTTTGGATGCAGATGATCCTGTTTCAGGTATAAGTAAGGTAAAGTTTATATTTTAACAACTGACCCTTTAACAAATGAAATTCTCATTAAGGTTTTATTGTACAATATTGTAAAAATATACTTCCCACTGATTCCATATTAATGTATGAGGGAGTATTTATTTATTTATTTCTCAAACTTGTGTTCCACCATCTCATCAAAGGCAACTCTAGGTGGCTTACGAACTTTGAATAAAATGCCATATAAAAAAATAAAAAAAAGATCTTATATTTTAAAAATATCAATTAAAATGAAACTGAGCAGGATAGAGAGGAAAGGAGCAAAGTGCACAAAGGAAGGAGGTGGGTATTCTCTATTCCATCAGCCACCTCTAGCATTGTTTATTGAGCATGCAATCTTGACCTCATTATCAAGCAGGATGTCCTTTCTGCAATTTAGTGAGAGTCTAATATGCAATGATAGTATAAGTGAAGGAAACAATTGAAATAAAGTTAGTAACCTAAAATATAATATAGACATGGGCTTTGGAGATTTGTACTTAAACTTACATGTTTGTAAATCATGGGATTACCATCAATTAAGTTTCCCGTTCTATCATTTCTGTTGGCTTCATCTTCATTTGATAATTTTGCAACTAGAAAAATACATACATCTAGAATATTGGGTGTAGAAAATTGAAACCATATGTATGTTGCAATAGTTGCAGTTCAAAACAAAAAAAGTCAGGCATGAGAAATAACTCTGAGAGTGCAGGATTTTTGTTCTTAAACATAAAACAGTGAAAATCACCTCACAAAGACTTGCATTTCAATTTTATCTTAAATATTCTGTAATGGTGAGAAATTTTGAGAATTAACACCTGTTCAATATTCTCAAGAGTATGCAAAAAATGGTGACCAAATGCCCTTTGGGATTCTGCTTCTGGAATAGGTATCAAAAGGAATACATTGTTTATCTTCAAAATTGTAACTTTTGGTATACCATCAATGCATTTTCTATGTTTTATACTATCACTATATATTCTGTCACACAATGAGACAAAATACTATAGTAGCCTAAAGAGCTAGGGTTGTGGATTTGCTGATTCCTGTTCTCTACTAATTGGCCAATGAACTATAGTAATTTATATGCATATTTGAGAATGGAATATAATCTGTGTTATTACTTTTTTCTGTGAATTCTTCTGAGCTTTTTTCTGAGCTTAGTCTTTGGTTTTGTTATCCATTGGTGGGACAATTTATATCAGTGTATAAATTCAAGAAAAACAAGTTGCTAAATTCATCTTCAAATAGTGGAAGTATCTAAACTTTCCATAGAAATTTATTGAGGAATCAGTAATATCAAATATCCAATAGTTAAAAGAGTATTCATTTACCCTAAGAGAATTGCATTTGTAAAAAATAAAATAAAAGGGTGTGTGTGTGTGTGTAGTACAAAGATTGTACCTACCTACAAATAATTGACTGTTTAGCTGCAATCGAAAATGTCCTTCAGCAGGTGCTTCTAAAGTCTTCTTTGGAAAGTTGTCTACTTGAAGAGAGGTTTCTCTAAGATTCCTTTCAGCATGTACAGAATGCCACTGATTGTCATTCAAGGGCACGGGGGATTGGACAGTAACCTCTACAGGGCCATTTCCAACATCAACTGTGAAAGTGATGTCTTTAGGAGCTGGAATGCATAAGGTGAAACTTTGAATGTTATAACATTCAAGTACATAACTGATAACAACAAGTACATAACTGTGGTAATAATATTTTAAGAGTTTCAAAACAATCAACCTTATGTGATTATTGAATTCACATAGCGAATCATCTACCGGTTTTTTTGGAGTATAAGACACACTTTTTTCCCTCTTAAAAGAGGCTGAAAATTTGGGTGAGTCTTATATTCTGAATGTAACTTTTTCGAAGCTTTTTTTTAACCCTAACGAGGCACTAACAAGTGAAGCGATCTCTGTGGTTTGCCTGCTTTTCTCATTGCTTCTCTCTCCAAATATCAGTTGTGCTTTAGAAGCTGTTTTTTATCCCCAAGCAGGGGATAAAAACCAGCAACCTAATGTGCTGAAGCTGACCAGACTAAGGACGCTAGCCAGATGAATACCTGGTAGGCAGAATTTTTTCCCCCTATTTTCCTCCCCAAAAGCTAAGTTGCGTCTTATACTCCGAAAAATATGGTATATATTATGGTACATATCTACAGACCCAAACCTTCTTTGTGAAATTAAATTCCTGGTCAGATATTCTCATTTTCTCTATGTTGATGTATTAGGAGGTATGCATTTGCCTTGTGATGGATCAGTGAGATAGAACATTTTCACAAATATTGTGTTATTTATTTAATATCTGCTTTTAAAAAATTCAATGATTATCATCAAAATAGCCTGTAAAGTGTGTAGAAAAATACAGAGAAGAAAATCTAAGACATAAAAATGATTTCAATAAAACAATACTGATGGAAATATCTGGATCGTATTAGGAGAAGGGAGAAAAACTATACCAAAGTGTTTTTCATACAACTATTCTCAGCTCTAATTTTTAGTAATTGAACATTTAATGGATGATTTCCACCTACATTTGCTACCTTCAGATGTACAACTTGATATATTATAGACAATATTAAACATGTTTCAAACACTAGAACTTTTGTTCAAACTGTATTATTTAATTTAATGACACATGCTGTTTAAATTTTTCTCCCTCCCTTAAAATATCACTTTTATTCTGATGAAAGTCAGAGAAACACCTGAGAGCAAGTTTCTATTCTTAATGATTTAAAGAAAACTGGAGTCAAACTATGAATGTCATAAAGATTATTCTGATAGTTAAATCACTGATATGTTGAGACTTGCATAGTTTAGTCTTTCAAAAACTGGAGGTTGTAGACACTGGCCTTTATAACCAAATGAATAGGAAAAAACAAAAATGAGAGAATTAAGTCTTTTTTCTTTTTATATTCTAAGAAAGAAGTATATAATTCAAGAACTAATCAGCCCTGTTGTGCTATTTCTCTTACATTTTAGATAGTTTATTAAAAGGAGACTCGTACTGAGTTCTTATCTCATCTCCATCAGTGGTGGGTTGCCCCCGGTTAAGATTGGTTCACAAGAACCGGTAGTAAAACTGGCGGGAGGCTCTGCCCACTGACCCAGACATCATCATAGGTGATCTGCGTGGGCACGATAGTAAAGGTAAGTAGAACCCATCCCTGATCTCCACCCCTTGCAATCAACCTCATCTTTTCTGAGAATTAGTTGGGGCATATAGACCACAGTTGTGGGTTGGAAATCTAAGTAAGAAGGAAGAGTTGGCAGTATGACATTTAGGGCAAAACAAATTCCAAGATTAAGAGAGGACAAGAGGACAAGAGAAGAAGCTGGCATCTGGTACATTGCCAATACTAGATCAATAATAACAATGTATATACACTGAAAAATACCTTTGGACAGAAGTTGTAACTCTGATTTATCAACCTTTTCCAGTTTCTTAAAAAGTTTAGGCCATGGAAGCAACATTACTTTCATCAGGGTTTCATTACACTAACAAAATAAGGCTGAAGTATGGCTATAATCATTCATTTGGACCCTAATTTGTATCTCTAGCTATGTAAGGGAGAAGATAGATTTCTGATAAATTTGTACTCCATTGGTATACATACATACATAACTCACAAAAATCTTTCAATCCATAGGAATGAATTTTCTTAGACATAGGGGGTTGGGAACTCTCTTCTATTCATGGAAGGAAATCAATGACATTGATCTCCTTACAGTTAGACTCTATTCCAGCACCAACATCAACTGATTTGTGGACTGTACTCACAGCCATTTAGCTCCAAGCATAATCTGCCCTATGAGAAAATCATAACACAGTGGAGAAACTGACTAAGTGTTGCACCAGATATTTCTTTCATTTCTACAGTGCACATGCTAACCCATCATTTTAACAGATTATATTATTCTAATGTAATTTCATGTCAATGTCTTGCTTTTATTATATACTTTTTTAAAAAAATAAGAGCCTTGTGAATGAAATACAACACACTGAAGTATCACTCAAATAGGAGATCATGTCCAATTAACACTAAACCATACCTCATTACCTAGTGATAATGCGCTTAGGCTTTTACCAAGGTCTGTGGGGGCCTTATTTTATTAAATTTTATGTCAAAGTTATTACAACCATATTAAAAAAATTGAAAGGACATATTGACACGAATCAATCTAACCTTTGCTCTTTGCTTCTGTCAAAGAAGTTGCTTGTACTATTTTGCTACGGTTAGGAATCATTTGTTAGGAATTCATTCTGTAAAAGAATGTATCCTTTTCTCTCCGGTTTCTCACTTCTGTAATTAGCTTCAGAGCTAGGCACATCCTTGGAGACAGGAACATCCTGCTCCATAGATGGGGCGGGGGGCTGCCTAGGAGCTAGAACACACTAGGACAAGGGATACTCTGTAAGATAACAAAGCATGGACAGAGCATGGACAAAGAATGCTCCATGGATTAGTTGGGGGGGGAGGGGCATGGGCAAGACATTGCCCACATTAAATAACGAACTTTTGTCTCTGATTGGCTAAACAAGTATATAAGATCCTAGACAAAGTTTACCTAGGTGTGGCTATTTCTTACATGTATTTTGTCTGTATGTTTTGGATATAGTTTTGTCACCCAGCCTTTTTATTTTGGCCATAAATAAAAAGCTGTTACTTTTTGCAAGCCTCGTCTCACTCTCTTTGGCATCTCAGTGGCTCGTGGAAACTTCTGGGACCTTACAAAATGATGGTAGTTCATTCTTAGTTTGTTCAGCCTGATGAACAAACATCTCACAGAAAGGCCTTCTTTCATTCTAAATCCACAGCATAACACCCTCCATTAATAGACTACAACAGCAGATAAAAAGATGACTTAAATTGGTTTTTTCCTTTAACACAGTGGTCTCCAACCTTTCTGGCTTTGCGGACAGGAGGTGGTGAAGGGGAGGGGAGGGGATGGTTCTACGCAAACAGTAGGCATACGTTCTTGTGCGTGCAGCATTATTTATGCCCACCGTTCACACAAGTGGAGCAGAACTGCACATGCAAGCTGCACATGCCTGTTGCTTGTGTGTCCCAGTTCAAAATAGGCTGCAGCCAGATACTGAGCCAATGCCTGGGTGTTGGGGACCACTGCTTTAATAATAATAATAATAAACTTTATTGTCATTGTATGTGTATACACAGTATACACATACAATGAAATTTACTTAACACCCAAAGACCAGGTCCCACACACATAATCCCCAAACACACTCCCACCTACCACAATTCCCCACACCTAAACCACCCAAACATCCATACAACAGACCAAGTAGTACTGTCCAACAGCTCACTGATGGTGGCCCTTTAGTTCATTGTTCAGTGCAATTATAGCTCTGGGATAAAAATTATTCAGAAAACGTGTGGTCCGAGTTTTAATTGTTCTGTATCTTCTGCCAGAAGGCAACAGTATTAAGAAGTCTTTAATACTTCAGGCAGCAATTGCAATTTAGTTTCAAAGAGAGATAGCTTATTTGACAGGCCATTATGACACTCTGAGCATTCTGGAAACTTCCCCTTTCCTTATTGGTATGCCAGCTGCTTTCCAAAAGGATGTTACATAAATAGTACATAAATACTATTTATCATCACCTAAGAAGAGAAGGAGAGGCAATCTGCTGATAACTCAAATACTCTCTGTGAAAAGTAGCAATTTTGTGTGCTGCTTCAGATAAGAGAGAGATGCCTGGCAGAGTCGATACTGAGGCAAATAATATTATCTTCATTTGAATGAAATTCTTTGAAGAAGAATGTTTTTGTATGTATGCATGTGCGCGTGCACACACACGCACACACACATGTATGGGAACGAGGGAGTTTGGGGTAATGGTTCAAGGCACTGAATACTGATTATATTAAAGGGTCTTAACCTCTCAACTTTTGGCATGTTATCTCCACTTTTAGGATTTAAAACACAGACACAAACTTCACAAATATTAAGCACTAAAGAAGGTACATGACTTAATCACAAAGGTGCTTTTCCAAAAGGCAACTGGACTTTCTTTTCTTTTCTTTTTTTTCTTCAAAATGTTTCTCTTCTTGGATGTGAAGCAAAACATTTTCAAGGAAGAAACTAAGAAAGTCTAGTTGCCTTTTGAAAAAATATCTTTGGGACAACCATGAGCTGGATGAATGAGTTTCTCCATAGACATTGTGTGACTTAATGAGATCTGCAGGAAAATAACAATACACTGCAATTTCAGTTAATAAACTTACAGCTTATTTCAACCCTGATGAAATCTTTCATTCCCAAATTTTCCAAAAAGACTCCAGACATTTTGGTTGTTTTGAAGAAGAAAGAAATGTCTGCTGTGAACTCGGCATGGAAAGTGGGGAAGAGAAGGTATGAAGCTTCGGTGCTGAAAGAAACTGCATTCCAGAACTGTCCTGCAAAGAATGACAAACTTCTCTATAGGTAAATGAAGAAGCAAAGAAATACTGTAGTCTTTAGCCAGAGTTCATTAAAAAAGAAAAATGAAACCTAGGTGGAAAAACATGTTAGGGTTTCTGTGTTTCAGGTATGGGCATCATTCATTCATTCATTCATTCATTCATTCATTCATTCATTCATTCATTCATTCATTCATTCTGTTACTTATCATGACAATGCATCCAAAGGAATGAATAAAAGCAAGCAAACAATAAATAGTAAAGAACTAATGAAAATGTAGATTTTTAGATGTATAACATAGAAATCATTTCTATGAAACAGACGAAAAGCTTTAGAGTCATTCTATGCCATGTTCAAAGTTTATTTTATAAATTGAAAGAAATGTATCTTGTGCTACTTCAAAAACCTGATGGCATAATGGTCAGCCTTGTTTTACTAGGCTAAAATCTCATAATTAGGATGCCATCACTGGGAGTCACCACATCGTGGACTACACTCACTAGCATCACCACAAACAGCCATTTTTGTGCACTGCTCAGGTGATAATTGGGAAACGCTTTTTTGTAAATACAAATGTAACATTTAGCCTGTGAAATTCATAACCTTCCCCATACAGTACATACACACAGTTGAAGTAGTAGCACCACAACTCCAGTGATAATCTTTCAAGGAATCATGAAGTTAAAAAGACAGTTTGTTAAGCACCCGTGGAAGTTTTGCAAAAGACAGATAAGTTAGGACAGCATAACCTTCTCTTACATTTGACACAAAATTCAAATTCTATGTTTAAAAAAAAACAATTAAAAACTGTGATGAAAAACCAGTGAAGCTTGTGAAGCTTTCCAGATTCATCTATTGGGCTGATGTACAGTATATAAAAGTACAGTAAATCTGTGTTCCTTGGAGAAAATGTTTGTTGAGTCTAGAGTAGATAAATTAATGACTTTATAGAGTACTAGGTTGCTGACCAAGAGAACTGAGGACTTCAGGGATATGATAAAGAAAAAAAAGAACCAGAGTTCTTCCAACTAAGGGAGGCAAAAGGTCCTCCATAGACCTTAATAGGGACCAAATTGTTTTTAAAGACTGAAGTGCTAAAAAAAATATTGGGAAGATTAAGTTTGTTGATAGCTTCATATTATTTTGGGTGATTAAAACAAAAATGCAAACAAACCTTTCACAAAATAAATAGGAATTAATATGGAAAATACATTTAAACCATTTCACAGAGAATAGCTTTACATATATTAATTCTCATATTTATCACAGAAAGGATGCATTGTGTTGGATTAATTGACCAATGGCTAGATTTGCACAAAACATAGTTCTACTGAAGAATAGGGGACGGTAGTTTTTTGTCCAATATGTTGTAGGTATCTAAGCACTGTCTTTATTGTATGAATCAAAGCATCAGGTTAAGATATAAATGTTTAGGGCAGTTCATGTTGTCTAAACATGGTTATTGCATTTTGCTAAACATAAAATTTTATTTTCTCTGAACCCAGGAAATGTATAACTGCTGTGAAAAAGGCAAATCTCATACTAAGCATAATTCAGAAAGCATTTTTAAAAAGTTGATTGGGTACTTTTTAATTTGACAAAAGCAGAACTAAAGGAAAGCAGACAGAAGGATATAATTACATATATTTACATGGGGAAGGCAAATCCAGAACTTTTTCTCTTCTCATAAACATTTTCATACAATGAACTGAATTGTTGGGAGAAACAAGGAAACAAGGAAATGCAAAAGGAAGTCCTTCACATTGAACAAAATGGGGAATTTTGTACAGGAGAAAATGGTAACCCCCAACTTTAACCACCACAAGCAGCTTTAAAAGAGAATCATAAAATTTTATAGCCGTTAATTATTTCAACTACTAATGGGCAAGATGGTTGGATATTACTTCTAATTAATGAAGAGAACAGGTTCTCAGTATTAATTAGTTGCTGAAGGATATGAATGAGGAACTCCTACTGTATTCATGTCTTGCTTATTCATTTCTCATATATATCTTTATACCCCCCAATGTGGAGACAGAAGTCTGAACAAGCCTTTAATTTGAATCTCTAGCACTCAAAGTCTTAATGCAAATTATTTAGAAAAATATGCTTCTTTAGAAACTGCACAATTCATTTCAGGAAACAATCAGACAATGCAAATATTAGAAGATATCTGTTATCACTAGTACAAACAGAACTCTGTCACACACACACACACACACACACACACACACACTCCAGCTTCTTATACAGCTTGTGCATAAGGATGCTGAAAAGAGCTGATACCCACTATCTCCATAGCAACGAAGAGGACCAATTCTCCAGGCAGCTTCAGAATTAGGTCTGTTCGTATCAGTGATGACTATCTGGTTCACAGGTAAATGTTCTTTAAAGGAAAGGAAGCCAGTATCATTGGTCCTACAAATAGATAAATGTGTAAAATGTATAGTAGGCTAGAAATCTTAAATAGTTTTGCATGAGAAATTATAAACATACAGATACCTATATATACAGTATATGTAAAGAGGGAGAGGGGGGAGAGATGCACATTTAGAGGGAAAGAGATATATTTGGATCCAAAAATGATGTTTAAAGTCTATTTTGTTAACAGAAATCTTCCTATTGGTATATTGAACATATTTTATACCTGTTTCATTCTGTTTCTCTCCCCGCCCCTGCAAATTGCCATATTGGAGTAAAATACATTCAGTCATAGTCCAAATGCAATAAAATAACATCTAAAACCCTTCAGCCTTAAAAATATATATATATACACTAGTTCAAATGCCTAATCAAAATTGTTTTAATATGGTGTCAAATTGCTAGCCTGATGCCTGACAAGTCTCTTTACTGAGTGCATCCCATAATTAGGAATCCACCATCAAAGTGCTGAAAAGAATTTGTGTGAAAATACTAATAGGCCCTGTGTAAAGGTGTCCCTGAGCAACCTTATAGAAGAATAGGAATCTTGGAGGACAAGGAAGGCCAGGTCACACTTCATAAGCAATGGCTTCCATTCAAAGATAAGCAACACTTGAGTTACCAGTTATAACAACAAGATTGTTGTGCGGCCACAGATAGAAGTGAGTAGTGCTACCCATTTGCCTCCACCTTAGCAGAAGCTGGGTTTGTATAATTTGCTTTATTTGGTTACTAAATAAAATCTTTTTGTGGATTTTCAAAGTTCATTGACACAAATGTTTGTGTATCATATTGAAACAATAAGAAAAGGGGAAGGGAAGGGAAGAAAAAGGAGAGAGAGGAGAGGAGAGGAAAGAAGAGGAGAGGAGAGGAGAGGGGAGGAGAGGAAAGGAAAGGAAAGGAAAGGAAAGGAAAGGAAAGGAAAGGAAAGGAAAGAAAGGAAAGGAAAGGAAAGGAAAGGAAAGGAAGAAATTGTGTGAATGCTTATGTTGGTTTTTGACTGGCCTATTTAAGAGTATTTCTGAACACAACAATTATATAAATTGTTGCTAAGAATTTCTCAGAACTGAATTGTAAGAAATCTGGGGTCAGACATGTGCACTATATGGTTACAACATTCTGAGGTATGCATTATATCTGGAGGAATAGAAGAGATGCTGAAATTAATGTAAAGTTCACAACCTAGCTTTCAACATGCTGTACCAGCTGAAAGTTTTCAATGGTTTTCAAGGGTAGCCAAAGAGATTAATTCAGTTTTGAAGACTGCTGATATAGGAGATTTCTGTGGAATCCATTAAAGCAATCTTCAAAAAAAAAAAACTTTTAGGTTTTGGAAATTGGTTCGAGGGTTCCCCCCCCCCTTTTTCCCTTTTTTAAAGACAATGCAAATGTCAATGAAACATACAGATAGTATGGCATTATACTGTATGTGCATATAACAAATGGCAAGTACAAAATAAACACAGGGGATATTCTATGCTCTGGCACTCAATATATTAATATTTCTTTTGACAAGAAAGATATATCTGTTTACTTGGGCATTTTTTAAAAAAATCAATAACATTGCCAAGCATTCCTTGAGATAGTGGCCCACTGCCATTAGAGAGATTTTGTGTTAATTTAAAAAAAGAAAACCTGTGGATGTTATTGTGGTCTTACTGCAAACTGATTTGAGACTTCCGGTGAAAATTGAACAATAAATCTTTTAATTCACAAAAAATATGTTTGCTACTATATTTGAAACATCTATATTAACTGTATGCTGGACAGATAATTCAAATTCATGGATTGTTTTTTCCAGAGCAAAAATGGGACTGCTCAATTGTTTTATTTAAAAAAAAAAAAAACAGCATAAAATTATGTAACATTGACTATCAAATCTTTCTAAGGCAAGTGGTAATATATTTCCTTTCCAGATCTTATTACATTTTTATATGGTTGGCATTTTGGTGGAGCACTAACTGTCCATCTAATACATTAGTAACTTAAAAATGGTGTCATACACAAAAACTATGCAAATTACAGATTTATGATCTATCTGGATTATTGACCAATGATCATAAAATTTATCATAAAAATATTTTATGATTGATCACAAAATAATAAGGGCCATAACATAGACCAAATAGCCTAAGCAGCCCATTTTTTTTTCCAGTCTTAAGTTAAATATGCGAAGAAGACAATATAACAGTAAGGAACAAATAATTATTTAGGAGGAAAGGTACTTTAAAAGACTTTATAGTTCTTAAAGCAAGCAAAAACTCAGCCTATCTATTATATGAAGTTCAGACCTGAATTTGCAAATTTTAAAATTCTGCAAAAAATCCTGAGCTAAAAACTCAGGAGGACAAGCTCAATTTTTGATTTAATAAAAAAACTACATTTTTTAATGCATCTGTAAATTCAGGGGAAAAATATATTGCACAAGACATTTGCATATGAATTAGAAAGAAGCCAAGATAGAAGAAATAAAGCAAGCACATTTAGAATGCAGATCTTTGAGAAATTGTGTTAAGGTCCAAAATCCCTAATGAAGTTTTCAGAATAATTTGATTTAATTTTATTTATTTAATAATATTGATACTTTATATAAGCAATATTTTTCATGACAGAATTCCAGGTAACTCTCATCTAACAATTAACCAGAACCAAGCAGTCTTGAAATTAGCCAGGTGGCTGATCATGTATTTTCAGATCCTTGTTAATCCATACCCATAAAATATATGTGAACAATACAGAAACAAATTAACTTTCTTACATATTATCTATGTTTCAAATGTGCCCCAATAGTTCAGAACTTCATTAAATCTATGAACCAACATGTAAATTGCAAGTTCATAGCAGTTTTTAATATTTCTTTATAGTAATAGCAATAGCACTTAGATTTATATACTGCTTTACAGTGCTTTACAGCCCTCTCTAAGTGGTTTACAGAGTCAGCATATTGCCCCCAACAATTTGGGTCCTCATTTTACCCACCTCGGAAAGATGGAAGACTGTGTCAACCTTGAACCTGGTGAGATTTGAACTGCCAAATTGCAGGCAGTCAGTAGAAATAGCCTGCAGTACTATACTCTAACCACTTCGGCACTGTGGCTAATGTATCAGCCATATTGAAAAACAAATCCTCATTCTCTTGTATTTCAAGATGCTGCTTTGCAGTACTATAAACTGGAATATTCACAAAGTCCCCCCTCACTTGCATTATAATAGTTGGCAGGACACTAGTGTTATTCAATTTAATTTCCTCTCTTATAATATCCTTTGGGTATATTGCCTAGTTTTAAGTTAATGAAACCTCACTTGAATAGGTAGCCGCAACAGCATTTAATGAAATTTGTGATACAGTATATTATGAGAAATGTACTATCAGCATATGTCTGGTGATATGCAACTTGGAAACAAGCCAAAGAAAATATCTTCAAAAATTTTGAAAGTTTGCAAGGAGTGGAATGCAGATTATAAACATTTAAATTTTCCGTGTTGCTATGCAAGTTTTAAAAAGTTAAACCAGCATTACAAGTAAAGTACGGCAGCTAATTATATAATAAAGAGATCCTGGAAGATAATAGCATTAGAATCTGCCTAAATAAATCAACCCAACTCAATAATTATTCTAGCATCTGTTGTTTACGATAGAGAATAAGGTTAGTGTTAACAGAATAACAGAGTTGGAATGGACTTTGAAGGCCTTCTAGTCCAACTCCCTGCTCAAGCAGGAAACCCTACAACATTTCAGACAAATAGTTCTCCAATCTCTTCTTAAAAACCTCCAATGTTGGAGCACCCACAATTTCTTGAGGCAAGTCGTTCCGCTGATTAATTGTTCTGTCAGGAAATTTTTCCTTAGTTTTAGATTGGTTCTCTTCTTGATTAGTTTCCATCTATTGCTTCTTGTCCTGTGGTGCCTTGGGAAATAGGTTGACCCTCTCTTCTTTGTGGCAACCCCTTAGATATTAGAGCACTGCTATCATGTCATCCATAGTACTTCTTTTCATTAAACTAGACATATCCAATTCCTGAAATTGTTCTTTATAAGTTTTAGCCTCCAGTCCTCTAATCATCTTTGTTGCTTTTCTTTGTGCACTTTATAGAGTTTCAATATCTTTTTTATATTGTGGCAACCACACTGGATGCAATATTCTAAGTGTGAACTTACCAAGTCATTATAAAATGGAACTAACACTTCACTTGATATTGATTCTATTCTTTTTGCCATTTTTTTCCCACTTTTATGGAAAAGAAATATTTTCCGTCAATTGAAGAGTATGTTTCTCTAGAATTCTCACAACAGCAGTTCAGGGATCTTCTTGACATTATCTAAAGTATGAGATGCCAAGTGTGTTTATATGAGTATCCTGCTTTTCTATACATTTCTCTCTCTTGTGATCTACCTCTCATGATCTTGGCCTCCTGTCTTCTGAATAAAAATATCCTCTGGGTCTTTTTTTTTTTGAAGCATGGAGTTTGCAGTGTGATATGATGGGGAGGACACCATTAATGTATTCTATCATCTTGCAACTATAAAGGAAGGGTAGAACACCCCTACAATATTTCCAAAAGAAGAAGCTTTTAAATGAATAACAGAAGTCATTTGTGAAGAAAACTTTCAGGAGGACGTTTTCTAACATTGTATTAAGAAATAGGAAAAAGCCAAATATTGTACCAAATTATAGGCTGCACTTGCACAATCTGGTAACCTTCAGAAGTATGAGCTACAACTTTAAAATTCAGGACTAGTAATTCTACCACTACACTGAAGGCAACAGGCCAGTTTAAAACTACTGAAGACTATTAAGAAAAGAAAATGTCAAATTGTCTCAGGAGCAACTATAAAATTCTATCACTGTTTGAGGGATCCTTGGTGGTCTCTGAGCTTGGTTATTTTTCTTGAAGACATTTCATTTTCCAGATTAGTAACAAAACAATCAAGCTCAGAGAGCACCAAGGACCAGTCAAGTCAACCAGGAGTTACTAATATTCTCCTTTATTGCTATCATCACTGTATCTCTTAACAGATAAATTCCCTTTTTTCTCTTTGCTTTCAGAAATGACACAAAACTGCCTGGTTCCAACCTAGTTTTTTTAAAAAATGTTTTATTATATTTATAAGCACAACACACTCATTAATGTATTAAGTGTTATGTCTGTAACTATTGTATTATGTGACTTATGTTTTATTTGTAATTAATTTTAATGAATTGTTAGCTTTTTTGATGGCTATTTCCAAGCGGAAAATCAATTAAAAAGTACTTCTAGCAATGAGACAACCATTTTCTGTTTGCCTTTCATCTGGTTGTGAAAAATGAACATATCAAGGGAGAATTGGCAAATTAATTCAATAGAACAAACCCAGCTCAAAATACAGAAATTAAAATACATTCTCTGTGTATTAAACATTCAGAACTCAAACTCTTGTCTGTATATGAATGGAAGGCTGCATTAGTTTTGCTCTCTTTGACATTCTAATATTTTAAACTTTGAAAGTAGAGAGGTATTATAAAAATTTGGATAAATTTTGGAAAATTGCTCCTTAAAAATAAAGATCATCCAGATGTGTGTCAATAATCTGTTATTTGCTATACAATATGTTCTATCTAAAATATTCTCTCTGGATCAAGTTCATCAAATAATCAGTGCTCAATAATTAATTATGATTTTCAAACTTTCTAGGAAGTGAGTCTTCATTGAGGGAATGGAGATAAAAAAATTTCTATATACATTTTTCTAACTGTTTTAAGTTCCTTCCCCCGCCCTAAAATATTGAAAATGCTATATGCTTTTTATTTTATTACAGCAGGGCTGAGCTATTTCCTTTCTAAATTGAAAATGCCAAATTGCTTTAGCCTATGAAAGCCATTCTGTGCTCACACAATTTTAACTACGGTCTTTTGTTCATTTTCCAATTTTACTGTAACCATTTTTCTTACTTCACCACTGATTTAAACTGCATTGGTATAATTTTTCTGTAATATAGGTCAGGTGTAGTGCAGAAAGAAAAGATGATTTTTTTTTTCAAAGTGCAAGTTTTTGAGGAAAAAAATTAAAGTTTCTATAATTTATTTTTTCTTCAGCCTCCATTTCACTAATACAAAATTAAAAGTTTTTCATTATTATCATTTTTTTTAAAATTTGATTTATATGCCGCCCTTCTCCGGAGACTCAGGGCGGCTTACAATGTGCTAAGCAATAGCCTTCATTCTTTTGTATATTTATACAAAGTCAGCTTATTGCCCCCACAACTGGGTCCTCAATTTATCTACCTTAGAAAGGATGGAAGGCTGAGTCAACCTTGAGCCTTGGCGAGATTCGAACCTGCAGTAATTGCAGGCATCTGGTCTTAATAACCAGCTTAATAACAGGGTGCCTTAGACCACTGTACTACTGTACAGTGTACTACACTGTACTACCAAGCATGTATGTATCATTAGTACAGAATTTGTGTAATTGTTTTATTACAAGACTCAGAAACCTATTGCAGTTATGTAAATTAATCATATGATGGACAATAGGATCTTTCTAAATATGAAAATATTCAAAGCAGGAGGCCAAACTAGATTCTACAGTAGACTGAAGAACAGTTTATTTCAACTTCATCATCTTAAATCTGCAAAGGTATAAGGAACATCTATATAGTAGAGTGAAGTTGGAAGAGAATTAGTTGATTTTGCAATTCTAATTTATCAGTGACAAAATTAAAAGAGCATGTTAGACAATTTTATAGATTTGAAATTGTTCTTGAGATCAAGCACTTCTCAAGAATATTATCCTTAGTCATAAAGTTAAAGGATGGCTTACTTCTCTAATTTAAGTTCTCCAGGGTTGGAATTCAAATTGGAAACACAATTTGAAGGCCACCATAAAATTTATTTAGACATTAAACTTACGGAATGCCTTAAAGAGGCATTTATATTATATATGTTTTGTGAGGTTTGGAACTCTACATTCCCCAGTTTGCATGTCAAACTTATGACTGAAAAGTAAGATACACAAAAAAATAAACTTTATTTCCATCTCATGTTAATTCACCTCAACCAATTCAAAGTTAGTTCACCTGTTGCCTTTTATTAGTGATACAATAATTCAGCCCCTCATAAAGGAAGTCCCAGAGACAATCTGGTCTCCTCTCTTCTACCAGATTATATTACTATCCCTAACATAGTCAAATTTTGTCTTGATACATGAGAGTGAAGCACCAAATGTTGATCCATAAAATTACTTTTCTTTGATACCGTCAACATTTTATATTTTTTCTCTCCTTTTTTCCTGTTTTTAAGTCTTTTAACTTCCTGTCATTTTTTTTAACAATGCATGTAGAAGTTCATGTATATACAATATGTGCATATGTACACACACAGTGGTGAAAGCCTGCAATAAAGTTTACCAACCACCTTTCATTAAATTCATAATATATTTCTATATGAACAATAACATAAATTAGAATGCACAGTTACCATTCTTCTCTGTCTGCATCACAGTTACAAAAGTATCTCAGATCCACACAGCTTTCTTCTAGACCACAAGCACATTGTTGGATTCCTGGAATTGATCCTCCCCAGTAAGGATGTTTTTCGTTGGCACGACCAACCCACCAAACAAATGGAATTCCATCTGGTGGAAAAAAGAGAGAAGATCTGCCATAGGAAATGTGAAATAAGCAGACAATTCAAAGAAATGAAACGGGTAAACCTATTTCTTTTATCCTATATGTCCTATCACTGGTAAAATGATAGGAAAGCAAATGGTGACTTTGGATTTATCCCCAAAATTTTCTGTAATGTAGACATGCTGAGCATATGTAACTTTATTTGGAGGCTATCATTTTTGTAGTAACATATTAAATATCCCACAATCAGATAGGTAAGATGGAAGCATGATAGTGATAAAATGATATTTGCAGGCATTTCTATTTCTTGCTGGGATCGGTGTCTTTTTTTTCTCTCTTCTCTTGTAGGTGTGTATCTCTCTGATTAACTTATGTGTACTTATGAATAATTAAGAAAGATCCCCAAAGAGACAGGAAAACCAGCTATAAATAAAACACACACATGCAAATTAAGGGCAGGAGGGAAGAGATTATTTCTATAGTTTAATGTTTAATTAGCTTTCCTGTATAGCAGCTTGTTGATATTTCTCTCCATGATGCATCAAAAATGTTTTGGACTTCTTATAAAATTTGTCACAAACAGACTCAAAGGATAGTGGATACATAATGTATACAAATTTCCAAAGGTGAACATGTTCTTGGGGTCTTAGTGGTCTCTGAATTTAGTTTTGAACTTGATGTCATTTTATTACTGTGCAAGCTAACACCATTAATGTTTTGCTATAAAGTGAAATTCAATGGTTGTTTATATCTAGTTGATTATCCTACGAGCCTTGTGTTGTGAGGTTATTCCTTCTTCTTGGTTGATCTGATTTTGCTCCTGGTTCCTGCTTATCTGGCTGATTGGTAATGTGCGTGTGATATGGAAGGATGTGCTCAGGACTGTTTCCTTTGGCCTTTAGCTGTTCCTTTCTGAATGGTTTATAAATGTAATTAATTTCTGTATGTCTGCTGATGGCTAATTTGTCAGGTTGCCAAGCTTCTAGGAATTGTCCTGCCTTCTTAAAACTGATGTAAGCTACATTTTCCAAGATGTAATTGTGGCTGAGTTTCTTTATATGCTGTGAAGTGAAATAATTCTGAGTGCCAGTTTGATCTTTGTGAATGCATTCCTTGTGGGGCATATCCTGTCTGTGAATTATGTTACATTAAGAGGATAAACACTTTAAAAAAAATTGTGTTGGGAAATGCTATACTGATATTCTGCTTCTGTTCAAAAGCACAGTGCAGTAAACTCAGAACACCAGAAAGCAGAAATATTAAAGTACGTTTTAGTCTTATGTTTCTGAATTTGGGGAATGTAGTCAATTGTTTTACAAACTAATTTATGTTTTGTGCACACTTGGCTGAATCTATTTAAATATTATGTATAAGCATGGTGCAAATAAAAAAAATCCTTGACAATAAAAAAAACAGGCTAATTATGAAGTACAGAGAACTAATTAAGAAATGCTTTTAAAGAACTGTTCAAAGTCAGTTTATGTTGCTCTGCTGTTTTCCTTCTAATCTTAGACTTAACAATGTGAATTCTTGTAAGGAAACAAAAGCGAACAATGAAACTTTTTATTCATGCTTACTCATACCTAAAATTCATTACTGTAATGGACTTAGATACAAGAAGTTTTAGGAGGAACAGCAGCATTTTGGGGGCATAGTAAATTGAAAGATAGGGGATTTATCCAAAGCCCAGTCGTACTCATTATAAAAACAAAAAGTATACTATGATTTCCCCAGACATGTAGCTTCTGATGTTTTTTGTTTTTTCTAATTTGTGATACATATTGGAATACTCAGGAGCATTATTGAGAACATATTATCAACGTTATTATTTTCAGCTGAAGTGCTGAATTGGTGCTTTTCTTTTTTTATATAGTACTATAAGTTGCAGACATGATGAATAAGTTTTCCTTTCCTGATATGACAAGGGAAGTGACTCCTCTTCTTTATTCAGGCACCATGGAACCTCCAAAGTCCCTCCAAAGTATGGAACCTCCAAAGTATTTCTTGGAAGTTGTAAACATAGTCCAGGATTTGTTGGATTGCAGATAGTACACATCTTGCAACTGGATGCTTAGCAACCATTTACAAGCAAATTACAACCGACACACACACACACCATGGTACATACGACCTGGTTCTGAAGTTATGATGGCCATGTCCCTTCCCTGTGGTCATGGGACCATATCTCAGATGCTCAGTATTGAGAGCTGTTTGCAGAATCCTTTGTTCACATGATATTTATAATATGTAAATATATATTACATCTATGGTCTTAACTTGTACCAAAGTCATTTGTCAGTTTTTATTACTCTAAGGAGATTTATATCATATAGGACATGCAATTAGTTCTTGATTACTCGTACTATTTACGTTTTTGCAAAAAAACAGTGTTTACTTCCAATTTTGGGCAAAAATTCTCCACAGTGAACAAAAGGTTCATTGTGGTATTTGCTTAATAATAGTGGATTCATTTAATGGTGATTTATGTAATGGCCAGCACAAAAAAAAATAAAAAAATCAAGTCAGTTATGTGATGACCTGCTTTGCAAACAACAAGACTTATGACCATAATGGGCAAGCTTCATTACAAGACTTCTAATGCACTTGGCAAGCTTCATTACAAGACTTGTAATGACAATACACTATTTGTATGTTCTATATGATACAAATCTCCATAAAGTAATCAAAACTGACAAATGTCTTTGCTATCCAATCAAACCATTGCTTTCCTCCCCCTTACCTTGTACTTCTTGCCTCTTTTTTCCTTCCTCCATTTCCCTATTAACCCTATTAATTTTAATTAAAAAAAACCTTTTTGTTATTCTTTTAAAGGTACTTGGAGGCACACACAAATGTACTTAGCAGAGGTGAAATCCAGCAGGTTCTGACAGGTTCTGGAGAACCGGTAGCAGAAATTTTGAACAGTTTGGAGAACCGGTAGCGGAAATTTTGAGTAGTTTGGAGTAGGGGTGAAATGCTCCCGGTTTGGATCAGATCGCCTGATACAGTAGCAATGGCGGCGGGTAGTTCGGAGAAGCGGTAGCAAAAATCCCTGCACCCCCCACCCCCCACCATGCCCAGCTGAGCAGCACGATCATCAGAGGGTTTTTTTTTTTAACTTTTAAAAGCATTTTTTCTACAACCTCTTCCAATGAAAAAATGCTTTTAAAAGTAAAAAAAAGAAAGCCTCTGATGATCGCGTGGCTCAGCTGGGATCATCAGAGGCTTTTCAAAACATTTTTTTCTGCAACCTCTTGGCCGAAGAGGTGGTAAAAAAAAATGCTTTGAAAAGTCGCTGAGTTCCCTGATCGGCAGAGAAGCATTTTTTAAAGAGCCTCTCTGACAATCCCTGATCGGCAGAGAGGCATTTTTTAAAAAGCCTCTCTGACCATCCCAGCTGTGTTCCTGATTGGCAAAGAGGCTTTTCAAAGCATTAGAAAAAATGCTTTGAAAAGTTTTTTTAAAAAAAGTTGGCCACGCCCACCCAGTCACATTACCCCCCCTCCCACCACCAAGCCATGCCCACAGAACCGCTAGTAACAGATTTTACATTTCACCCCTGGTTTGGAGAACTGGCAAATACTACCTCTGGCTGGCCTCAGAGTGGGGTGGGAATGGAGATTTTGCAATATCCTTCCCCCTGGAGTGGGGAGGGAATGGGAATTTTGCAGTATCCTTCCCCTGCCATGCCCACCAAGCCACACCATGCCCACCAAGCCACACCATGCCCACCAAGCCACGCCCACAGTAGTTAAAAAAATTTGATTTCACCACTGGTACTTAATACTAGCAATCTAATTCCAATGACAACTTAAATAGATATATTGGAAATTATTATCTAAGTAAAAATTGCTATTTAATTCTATAATACTTTATGTGGTTACCAGGAAACAAATGGTAACAATTAATCAATACTGAAATGCATATTATTGGATAAGTACATTACGCTACAACATAGTGGTATGATAAATATACATCGCTAGGGTTGTAAGAACAAATATTTTTATAACATCTTTTCTGTTTGACTATTTTATTCTACTACACTAACCAAAAGATTTATGAAAGTCCCTCAAAATAGCAAACTTGCCAAATCTTGAGTCATTTAAAACCAGACTAAATAGAGAATTTGCTAATACACTGGAGGGAACAATCTGACAAGAGACAAGGAATAGATTTCTAATGTCTAATGTATCTTTTTTAGTATCTCTTGGAGCATCTGATTCTGCCACTAAGAAATGACATAGTAGCTCACTTGAACAGCAGTGAGCAAATGAATGAGGTTATATAGACTGTCGTGTAAGTTCAACAAAGAATTTTAACATGTGGTCTGGAAAGAATTTAATTATGCTAATATCAGTGTGCATTTGCTTAACATTCTGTTTCAAAGCATTATAATTACATCACAATGCTTTAAGAACAATTCTACAGTGCATAGGCATCTATGCAGACTTAACAAGGACATCTAAGGCTGATCCAAAAGGAAATGAAGAAAAATAACAGTATTCGTATATTGATAAAGATATTACAATATACCTCTATCTTTCATATACAATAGTGAAGATATAAAGTACATCTACAATTATTTTCAGACTTACTCCTTCAGAGTAATGACTACGGACAATTTATTAAGGCGTTACTGATTTTAATGAGACTAATTTTGGATCTGACTCAATGTAGCTTAAGAAGATTGCCAGACATGGATTTATTTAGTTAAAAATGTTACAAATTTAGTTCAATTTTATCTTGAGATTCTCCCCAGATTTTATTCAGGGATTCTTATCTTCCTTATTACAATATAGCATTATGCCAGTTTTGGAAACATTACCTAATAAACCTGGAACATAAGAAAAGCTGTCAGAAACCAATACAAATATTTAAAAGGCTTAATTTCTTATGTTCCCTATTCTTTACTCACAGGCACATGCCTATTTCTCATCATTTACTCTTTCCCTTAATTTCTCTTAAAAGCTCCCTGCTATTTTAAAAAACTAACTAACAAAAGTTA